TGAAGAAGGGTGAAGGAGAGAGAGTTTGAAGAGAGAGGACACAACTATGAGAAGGAGGAGTAGGGAGTGCATGTTACAGAGTGGTGAGCTGAAGAAGCAGACTGGATGAGAGCTGAATTGGGAAACAGGTCACCTGTAGTGTGTTTAATGTCTGCTTTGGTTTCTTGTCTTGTGCATTAGCTGAAGTGCAGAGCTGAAGTGCAATGCTCAATACTTAATCCAATATTAATACTCTGTCCATGATAAAAGTTGCCAATGCTGCCCCTGGCTTATATATATATATATATATATATATATATATATGGGTTGCACAAAAAATATAGAAACACTACATGATTTGCAGGTGTGAAAGTGACAACGTGTTTCACGTTGAAAGTGGAAGTGATGTAACATTCTTTTGCTTCCACTGTGTGATGAGACACCGAGCTAACAGGTGAGAAACCTCACTTTTATCATTCTCTGCGTGAGCTGCTAGTAATACAGAGTCATGTCAGAGCTTACTTAATTTCAAAGATGGCAAGCTGTTGATGTGCGCTTAGCTGGTGCCTATGTGACTGAAGTTGCTAACTTATTTGCAGTGTCGAGAGGTACAGTATCAAAGGTTATGATGGCATATACAGGACAGTTTTGTGAAAACATTATTTGATAAGCGTAAGCGCAGTCAATATAGTAAACTGACCAAAAGAGACAAAAGGACATTGTGCAGGATTGTGATCTGGAATAAGAAAATAAGTGCTGCAAAAGTGACTGCAGAGCTCAGTCTCAGTCTTCCAGAACCTGTGTCCACAAAAACTGTGCAGAGGCAACTCTATAAACAAAATATTCACAGGTGAGCTGCAATTGCCAAACAACTAATGACTGATATTAATGCTCAGAAGAGGGGAGAGTGGTGCAAACACCCATAAATCATGGACTATCGATCAACAGAAGACTGTACTATGGTCTGATGAATCAAGCTTCACACTGTTACCAACCACTGGACATGTTTATGCGTGGCGAGCACATCCCAAGCTTATGACCAGGACTGTCTTGTGCTGACGGTAAAGCATGGTGGTGGCACATGGTTTGAGCAGCCATATCTTGATACTTTGCAGGTCCCATCATCAACTTGAAAGGTAGAACCAGCTGAGGCACCACAGTTCCTCTCTTCATCCTCCCCTCCCTCTTCCTCTCACAAGGCATACAGCTCAGATCGATTCTCTTAAAGACAACCTCTATCTACACACTGCGGAGCTGCCTGCTATGCTGCAGTTCTGACCTTTGAAGTTCCAAGATAAGAATGGCTGTGCAGCATAGAATCCAGCTACACAGTGTGCAGATATAGGTTATCTGTAAGAGAATTGATCTGAGCTGTGTGCTGTGTGAGAAGAGGAGGAAAGAGGAGAGTGAAGTGTGCTGTGTGAAGTCTCGGGTGCGAACAGACAGCCCAGAGCCAACATCAATCAAACAGAGGAGAAGGAAAGGGGGTGGATCCCAACAAGATTGTCGGCATCAGAATTGTGAGAAGACTGTAACTCCTCCCACAGATAGTTACCTGGATTTTAACAGAAAGGGTACACTTCTCAGATGGAAAAATGTTATGTACTAACAGCTCACAAGCAATACGATGAAGCTAAAAAAAAAACCCCATACTACTCTTTAAAAAAAGCTGCACTGTACAACGCTTCAATGCATGCATAGAATGCATTATGTTTACAAACACTGAGCATTTAATACTGCTTATAGCTGGTAAAATAATAAGCTAAATACCAAGTATGAAAAGATTTTAATAAAGTTATACAAAAGATTCAAGTTAATAAAATATGGTACAACATACAAAGGAGTATGTAGCACTACCCCCTTAGGAGTCGCTGAGCTCTTGGGTTCCCCTATAGTCCTGTACAGCCAGGCACCATGCACCCTCCTCCGCACTTGCATACTGGAGACAATAAACAGTCCTTGAGCTTGTTTTTCGTAGTTTTATTAAGGGGTATTGAACTTGGATGGGGTTGAGGAATGTATGAGATGCCCAAGAAAACTGCAAACAGAAAGACAAACACCTTAGCAACTATGTACAAGTCCATAGACAAAGAAGATTTCTTCTTGAAGAGCTCTCCAGCCCTCCTGGTGTACCATCTCAGTCCCCAGATGAATCCTCCTCTTCACCCAGCTGCCAGGGGGAGTCCTTGGGCAAAGGGATCCAGAAGCTGTCGCTTGAATAAAGCAGTAACAGGTGAGGAGCTAGTTGGGTTTCCCACCTGACTGCCCTCTCCCCTTATCTGCCCAGGGGGTACAAAATTACTCAGTCCTGTCCTGTAAGCTTCAAAAGTGTTTTAGAAAAGCGCCACACCCTAAATCTCTAAAGCAGCAAATTCCACTTCAAAAAATCACAAATTAATTTTTTGCTCAAACAAATAAATAAAAGGAATGCGCTAAATAAATACAAAATAGATGTGAAAATATATTAAAAAATAAATAAATTATAAAAAATGTTCATAAATCATTAAATATTCAAAAAAGTCTTCAAATAATTTCCACACTGTGTTGAAGCCACCACCAGAAAAAATTGAATCACTCACCAGAGCTAAATGCTGAACAACTGAACTAGCAACAAACACTTTTTGCTCTTTGGCAATATATAACAGTCCAATTCCTGGATGCAATGCTGTGCAAATAAACAAACTCTCCTCAGATAAACAGCCACCATTCAAGGATATAGGTAATTTCCAGGAATAAAGCTCATCTTTCTTTCATATACCTCCATACCATTGGGACCATGTTTAAAAGGTAAGAGAAAAAAATCATGGTGCAGCAAGTTTCAGACATATAACAAATTTTTAATGAATGAATAAAACTCACAAGTGAGGTGTCTGCACCGACACCAGTGTTACAAGCATGGATTTAGGCAGCGGTATACGAACGTAACTTCGTTCACCACGAATCACCTCCTTTCAGATTCAGAGACTGTCTCAGATGTCGGCATCCAGTAGGCCATGCCCTACGCGTTTTTGTCACCAACGACATCCTCACGGGGAGAGTTTGTTTATTTGCACAGCATTGCATCCAGGAATTGGACTGTTATATATTGCCCCAGAGCAAAAAGTGCTTGTTGCTAGTTCAATTGTTCAGCATTTAGCTCTGGTGAGTGATTCAATGTTTTCTGGTGGTGGCTTCAACACAGTGTGGACAATATTTGAAGACTTTTTTGAATATTTAATGATTTATGAACATTTTTTTATAATAATTTATTTTTTTTTTTTTTATATTTTTCACATCTATTTTGTATTTATTTAGCGCATTCCTTTTATTTATCTGTCCTGTAAGCTTTTCGGTTGGTGGCTGCTTTCAGGCCTTACGTTGGGCTGGCTCCTTCCCTGCTTCCCAGGCTTTCCTCTCTCAGGGAACGGTTGAGGCTTAGAACGTCCTTCCCAGCTCTTGCCTGCAGGTAGGCCCCTCTCCTGGGCCCCCTCCCAGGCTCCGCACTGCAGCCTTCACTCCATCTTCCAACACTACTCCCCCTACTGATCAGGCTCAATCATATTTAAGGGCTCTCCTGGCCCCATGCCAAGCCTCCTGCTTGGGAACTGGTCAAGATCCCCCAAGTATGCAGATCAGCCGCTCCTCACCCACACCCACTGCCTTCCAGAAACTTCTCAAGCTTCTAGAGTAGGGGGAGATAACCTGACCTAAAGTGACCTGGCTGACTCATCTCAGGCTGACTTATACCAGGTTGCTATCTAACCTCTAACTAAAAAACCTAGCTAGATCACCTTGGCTAATAAGAGGCACTACAAGTAAAAAAAAACCACAAAAAATTCCTGAATTAAATGGCAGATTACCAAGATCTTAGAGCAGTTCACTTTGTTACAAAATGGAACAAGGAATGTCAGTCTGAACCCATTTCCAAGTGTTAAAATAATACTAAATCCATAAAGCAAAAAAAAAAAACCCCCAAAAAACAAATAGTAATTAAAAAATAATAGTTTAAAAAAATTAACAAATGTGGTTATACTATACTATACTATACTATACTATAATTATCCAGGCATATCTAACAATTGTTGTTATCTATCTATCTATCTATCTATCTATCTCTCTAGCTTATTTTGTATTTTTTGAGGAACTTGGTGTGGTAAAGGTAAACTAAGGGGGTTTTAGTGCTGGCATCTGTGCGAATTGAAGGAAGAAAATAATAACATTTTTTTTTTAGTTATCAGCAAGAATGATCGGGGACCGAGTGCCAAGTGTGGTCTTAATGTAGACTTAAACTTTAAAATCAACGTACAATATTTTCGACAGTAACACTACACAAATTAAGCCAATGCAAATGTCCTATTTTCTTCATACAGTTGATTAGAGATTGTTGCATCACCTGATCACATCAACTATATGCAGGCCTCAACCATATGATCACTGTCAGTCTGGATGAATCTTGGGCCTCATCTTCAGGCAGCACTGCCAAGTCTCAACTAAACAAAGCAGCCCCTTTCTATAGGGTACTTGCATATTTAATCTGATACTAGCTCTTAAAGTCTCAGACAAACTACCTGTTATTGAACCATATTGCTGTTCCAATAAACCTAAGGTTACATCCCAACCCCAAAAATTACAGCAGATTGAGGACTTCCCCTACAGTAGAGTATTCTTGGAGCTGCATGTTTGGAGGACAGATTGCATGACCACTGTGTGTATCACTAGTAGTACAGTATCTGCTATTTAAAGTAAAGGCATCATGACAGAAATGTGGGTAATGCCATTGCACAATTTTCTCTAAATTGTGTTTGGCTTCAGGAATTCCGAGTCACAGCACTCGAACAAGCATACCAGAAAAAAAAAGTTCCTATCGACTTGTGCTTGGCCAGTGACTCAGAAAGTGCTAAAGTTGAATAATCAGCATGGCATCCAAGCAACTATAATTTAAAAAAAAAATGAGATCAGCAGTAGTAGCAATATACCTTAATTGTCTGAGTCTTCAAAATGTATCATTAGCAATAGTAATTCTTCATACTATAATCCACAAACTAATATTTTTTTCTACTTTGGAACATTATTTTCACAGCATTATAAATATCTTTATTTCTTAAGCTATAAATAATTGGATTTAACATAGGTATTACAACAGTGTAGAAGACAGTGGCGATACTTCTGTTCTCAACTGTAGCCTCTGATTTGGGACTTAAATATACATACAGAGTTGTTCCATAGGAAAGCGACACTGCTGTTATGTGGGATGCACACGTTGAAAAGGCCTTCTGTCTTCCAGTTACACTCTTTATCCTCATAATGGATACAATTATGGAGATATATGACACAATAATGACCACTATAGAAGGTACCGTGATAACAGAAGAAAAGATGAAGAGGACAAATTCATTAATAGTAGTGTCTGTACAAGAAATACTTAGTAAAGGTAGAAAATCACAGGCAAAATGGTGGAGAACATTAGAGGCACAAAAAGTCAAGTGCAAAGTGCAAGAAGTCTCAATGAGAGAATGCAGGACACCCGCTGTATAAGCTCCACATACTGGTCCCAGGCAGGTCTTCTTCTGCATTACCAAGAAATAGTTTAGTGGGTTACAGATTGCCACAAAATGGTCGTAAGCCATCACTGCAAACAAGATACATTCTGTAATTCCAAGAATGCAAAAAAAGAAAAGCTGTACAAAACAACCAACATAGGATATTGTCTTCTGTTCAGACAGAAAGTTTGATAACATATTGGGAGCAATATTGGACGATAAACACAGGTCTAGTATTGACAGATTACTTATGAAATAATACATGGGTGTTTTCAAGCTCTCATTATGACAAACAGCAAAGATGATCAGTAAGTTACCCAAAAGAGTTATTAAATATACAGATAAAAAGAGTAAAAAAAAACACTACCTGAAGGTCAGGTCTTCCTGAGAATCCAGTCAGAATGAACTCATTCACCAATGTATAATGTTTGCTATTGGATAAAGCCATTGCTTATTATTAGACTGGCAAGTACAACATAAGATTGGCTTCATGTTTTCCACATAAAATCAAGCATACTCAAAAGGCTATCTCAGTTATATCATACTATAGAACAACGGGTAAATACTTTATATACAGCGGACATAAAAAGTCTACACAACCCTTTTAAAATGTCATGTTTCTGTGATGCAAAAAAATGAGACAAAGATAAATCATTTCAGAACTTTTCCCACCTTTAATGTGACTGTCAGGGCTCCCAGGTGTGACCAGAGGGTGTGTGACTGATGCAGGGAAACGCAGACTTCAGATATGTGATAAACAATATAATTTATTAACACTAACAATACAAACATAAACGCAGTGCAATACTAAACATAATACAGTGCAAACAAACCAACCACCCACAGATAACAGTACATACAAGCAAGCGTCGTCAGGCAGGCCGGGTCAATATCAATAGGGCAGGTAGGTACAGGGGGAGCAAGCGGAGATTGGTCGGGGTCACAGGCCAGGTTCAGCAGGTAGCTAGCAGCGTAGTACAGAGGGTCAGGCAGAGGGATGGTCAGGGTCACTAGCCAGGGATCAGAACAGGTAGCAGGCAGCGTAGTACAGAGGGTCAGGCAGAGGGATGGTCAGACAAGCCAGGGATCAGAACAGGTAGCAGAGAATCAGACAGGAACAGAGAGCAGGAACAGGATACAGGGCCCAAGAGAAACACAACACCAAGGCAGAGTCTGTGGGTCTGGCCATCCCTTAAATACCCCAGCATAATCAGTTCCAGGTGTTAGCTGGCTGCAAAGTTGAGTCTCTGATTGCTGGGAGCACCCGCTGGCCAGCCCTGGTACTGCAGATCAAAAGGCAGGTGAGTCCCACCATTGCTGGCCAGTCCATTCCTGACAGTGACCTATAAACTGTACAAATCAATTGAAAAACAAACTGAAATCTTTAGGGGGGAGGGAGTAAACTTAAAAAAACTAAAATAATGTGGTTGCATAAGTGTGTACACCCTCTTATAACTGGGGATGTAGCTGTGTTCAGAATTAAGCAATCACATTCAAAATCATGTTAAATAGGAGTCAGTACACACCTTCTATCATTTAAAGTGTCTCTGATTAACCCCAAATAAAGTTCAGCTGTTCTAGTAGGTCTTTCCTGATATTTTTCTTTGTCGCATCCTACAGCAAAAGCCATGGTCACAGAGAGCTTCCAAAGTATCAGAGGGATCTCTTTGTTAAAAGATATCAGTCAGGAAAAGGGTACAAAAGAATTTCGAAGGCATTAGCTATACCATGGAACACAGTGAAGACAGTCATCATCAAGTGGAGAAAATATTACTAAGAACTGGATGCCCCTCCAAAATTAATGAAAAGACAAGAAGAAAACTGGTCTGGGAGGCTGCCAAGAGGCCTACAGCAACATTAAAGGAGCTGCAAGAATATCTGGCAAGTACTGGATGTGTGGAACATGTGACAACAATCTCCCGTGTTCTTCATAGGTCTGGACTATGGGGGTAGAGTGGCAAGATGGAAACCTTTTCTTACCAAGAAAAACATCCAAGCCCAGCTAAATTTTGCCAAAAACACATCTGAAGTCTCCCAAAAGCATGTGGGAAAATGTGGTATGGTCTGATGAACTTTTTGGCCATAATTCCAAAAGATATGTTTGGCGCAAAAACAACACTGCACATTATTTATTTATTTCAGTTACTTATATAGCGCTGTCAATTTATGCAGCACCTTACATACTGTACATACATATATATATATATATATTTAGTACTTTCACATCAGTCCCTAACCCTCAAAGGGCGTACAATCTAAGGTCCCTAACTCACATTCTTACATACACATACTAGGGCCAATTTAGACAGGATCCAATTAACCTACCAGCATGTCTTTGGAGTGTAGGAGGAAACCGGAGTACTCGGAGGAAACAAACGCAGGCACAGGGAGAGCATGCAAACTCCAGGCTGGAGGTGCCTAGGTTTGGATTTGAGCCAATGACCCTAGTACTGCCAGGTGGAAGTGCTAACCATTTAGCCACTGTGCTGCCCCCATCAAAGAACACCATACCCGCAGTGAAGCATGGTGGTGGCAGCATCATGCATTGGGGCTGTTTTACTTCAGCTGGAATTGGGGCCTTAGTCAAGGTATAATTATGAACAGTTCCAAATAGCAGTCAATATTGTCACAAAACCTTCAGGCTTCTGCTAGAAAGCTAAACATGAAGAGGAACTTCATCTTTCAGCATGACAAGACCCAAAGCATACATCCAATTCAATAAAGGAATGGCTTCACCATAAGAAGATTAAAGTTTTGGAATGACCCAGCCGGAGCCCAGACCTGAATCTGATCAAAAATCTGTGGGGTGATCTGAAGAGGGCTGTGTACAGGAGATTCCCTCGCAATCTGACAGATTTGGAATGTTTCTGCAAGGAAGAGTGGGCAAATATTGCCAAGTTAGGATGTGCCATGCCGATAGACTCGAAAAGACTAATTGCTGTAATAAAATCAAAAGGTGCTTCAAAAAAGTATTAGTTTAAGGGTATGCACAGTTATGCAACCATATTATTTTAGTTTTTAACTTTTACTTCCGTCCACCTAAAATATTTCAGTTTGTTGTTCAACTGAGTTGTACAGTTTATAGGTCACATTAAAGGTGGAAAAAGTTCTGAAATGATTTATCTTGGTCTCATTTTCACAGAATCCTGACATTTTAACAGGTGTATGTAGACTTTTTATATACTGTATACACTATCTAGAGGACAATCCAGAAACAGTGAGTACTATGTGATGAAAGGGGATTTTGATATTGCTGCATTTGCTGATCATCTGTGGAGAATGGTCATGAGAAAGCCTGCTCTCTAATTCTCAGAGTGACACAGATCTTGGAAAGCCCAATCTGCTCAGAATTAGCTATTCCTGCTGCTGATTGAAGAGAGAACTCTGTCTCTGTGTATTACTGGTGATTGTCTCCTCAAAACTTGTGCTGTGGCTGAAGAGTGTGTTTAGTTCCAAATCCCCACAGTAGCTTGCTGTTTTAAATATACTGAGCAAATGTTAATACATCAGGATTCACCTGTATGGTAAAGATTTTGTTGAAGTGTTGTTCTTTTCTATTGCAATGTTCACTGGAAGATTCTGCTCAACCACTTCCAGACCGGACACTTTTACCCCCTTCCTGACCAGGGCAATTTTCAGCTTTTAGCGCTATCACACTTTGAATGACAATTGCGCGGTCATGCAACACTGTACCCAAATGATTTTTTTTTACCATTTTTTTTTAGATAGATAAAGCTTTATTTTGGTGGTATTTATTCACCACTGGGATTTGTATTTTTTTTTTGCTATGTAAATGAAATGTCCAAAAATTTTGAAAAAAAGTGTTTTTTTTATAAAATTTTGCAAATAAATAATATTTCATCATAAATCTTAGCCAAAATTTATTCCGTTATCTTTTTAGTAAAAAAAAAAATCCAAATTAGTTTATAAGCAAAAATTATAATTTTTAAACATTTTTTTTTACATTTTTATTTTATTTTTTTATATTATTATTTTTTTATTTTTATTTTTATTTTTTTACATACTGTCACCCTAGAAGTACAGTGTCACCATGGTGACACTGTACTACTTGTGAGGGGTGATGAAGATTTTTTTTTTTTTTTTTACACTGATTGCTTTTACACCCATATAGGATGTAAAAGCAATCATTTCTCTTTCTCTCTGTGTGCATTCTTGCACTCATTGAGAAGAACTGAGTGAGCTGTGATTGGTCACAGCTTGTCACATGGTACAAGGCTTTTGTGAATAGCCTTGTACCATGTGACCTCTGTGATCATTCACAGATTTCATACATAGTAAGCAATGATGTCAGAAGTGACATCTTGCTTACTACTTTGCATGTGATCACTGATTGGCCAATCAGTGATCACATGATCGGGACCTCGTACAGAGGTCCCGTCCGACGATCGGTGTTTCACTGTGTCCGGAGGACACAGCGGGCACCGGATCGCGGTGCTGCGCGCTCCCAGGGAGCACGCACAAGCAGGGTGCGGGGAGGCCGTTTTATAGACGGCCACCCGACCCTGCAGTGCCACCGTCCGGCCGTTTATATACAACGGCCGGTCGAGAAGTGGTTAAAGGAGACTGTGCTATCTGGTTACCCCTGGATTACAAATACTCTCCCATGCAAAGAGTGAGCGCTCTTCCATAGATTAAAGGGCCCCAAGGTTGAGAGACTTTAAGTTTCATCTCACTGGCCAGTGGTTAGGTAGGACATTTCTGCTCTAGATAGTTACTGCTTATAGCAAATGTCAATAAGCTGCTAAACCTCATTAACAGTTATTGTTTCATGTGTCAATGTCACCCTAGTCAGTGTGATACTAGTCAGTTTTTGGAGTCTTTGGCGAGTGAATTGTGATTTCTTACTAACTGTGTTAGGCAAAGTGGTATCTGTGTTTTATGTACATGTACATAAACATCATTTATGGTCTTTTGTAAAAGCAAAATAGGAGGCATAGACAGGGTTTTACACATTTTTTTGGGGTGAAAGATACAGCATAATAATAACAATCAACTAGTGTTTTATCCTTTGTAGTCTCATGGCTCTGGTGTTCATAGGTTTGAATTTAGCTGTCCAATTCCAAAAGAACTGATGCGGACAATGATTGATATTTATTGTGTTGAGGAAATTCCCTAAACATCATGCTTTATCACAACAAAGTCTACCATGGGAATTATATTATTTGCCATGTGTCTTCTTTAATATAGACTTGCCAAAGAATTCCTGTGAGAATGGCAAGCACAGAGATAATTAAGCTAATGGT